GATCTTCGCGACGATTTGTTGGGATGCGAAGGGCATCATCCTCATCATTTTTTTAGAAAAAGTAAGAACGATCACTGGACAATACTACAGTGAGTTATTGGACCGCTTCAACAAACAATTGAAGGAGACACGGCCGCATTTGGTGAAAAATAAGGTGCTTTTTCACCACGATAATGCACCAGCACATTCATCTGGAGTTGTCGCCGCCAAACTCCATGAATTGCTGGCGCACTCCCCATACTCACCCCATTTGGCTCCCTGCGACTTCTTCTTGTTCTCTTTCATGAAGAAATGACTCGTGGGAAAAAAATTAGATCAAACGAAGAAGTCATCGCCGAGACAAATCCTATATTTTGGAGGGGTTAAAAAAATGGCAGGAACGTTGGAAGAACTGTATCTTTCTAAAAAGGGACTATGTTGAAAAATTAAAAAAAATTTTTTTTGAAAAAATGGTGTCTTCATTTCTAACAAGGGTACTTATTGAATCGCCCTCGCAATTTATGATAGCAGCTACTGGTTTTGAAGACGGCATCAGCGGTACCACCGATATCGATAGTTAAAATACAATATAAATTTCTTATGTTTAAAATAATTATTGTCTACGGACTTTTGTCCGTAATGATGGTAATGGTCCCTTTTAGTTTTACTTAGACTTCAAAGACAACTACACAAATTTGAAATTCTGACTGCGAATTCATTAGTTTATTTAGCACATTCACTAACGTACGTTTGCCATCGACACTCGCACATGTATTTCAGATAATGGGAACATTGTTAGAAACAAAATGCCATCCCGATTGCGTTCAAGTGCAATTACTGTACTGCCGGGCAAGTGTTGAGTTAAATACAAATTAATTATACATCAAAGCGTTTAGTGGAATTACCTACGACAATGTTGAACTCACTAACTTTAATAGCCATCTGACCTCCACTCATCATAATAACGTATGAGGCTGAACTTAATTCGACCTGAACCTTGCACAAAGTTAATTTCCGTATCGTGCTTTCAGTAGGTCTGTGTCATTATCAATGCACCTATTAAGACGAGATGGGAATCATGTAATGTGATAACTCTGTACATTTAGTGCTCTATATACAGAGTAGTCGTGCAATTTTGGAGTAATATAGGGAAAATTAGAGCAAATACGTCGTCATGAGGTAGACATTTAAGGAAACTCATTTCTTTATAAGTTAAACCAATGAGTACCACGATATGCTCACAAACGATTTCTTCGTCCTATGACTGGTTGGACACGTACCTCCACTCTTTTCTATCCTGAGCTAATCGTCGCATTTCCCTAAAACTAGAACAACCCACATCCTTAACTATTTGTAACCAGTAATCTAATTAGATCTACCTATTCTCCTCTTAACCCCTGTTTCTGCCTCTAATATGTCTCTGACTTCATGCTTAAGGAGGTGTCCTACCTACCTATCTGGCCTATTTCTTATTGACTTCCATAGAGGGCTCTGTTCTCCTATTGTTTCTAACATGTCTTCATTTGTAACCTTTTCTAATCCACGGTATCCTCAATATTCGCCTGCAATAGAAGGCTTTCTTGTACCTGTACATATTGTACTTAGAGCACAGTAGTTTAGATGAAGTGTGTCAAAAGACGCTGATTGGATTGAAGCTTGATTCTCACTATCCGTAAGTTGACGGCCCCCCTTTAGATGCTCATCAGTTTTATGTTGTATTAGCATTATACAACTCTCACTAATTTGGCAGTAATTACTCCTTTGCTGGAAGAAGATGATGAGGATATGGAAAACAAAATGAAAACAAGAAACAAACAGAATAATTAAATTTTTATATTTTAAATTGCATAAACACTCATAAGTTTGTACTAAAAGAATTAACTTTTTGCCCTTTTTTCTTAATTAAATATTTGCCTGCTGGTTACTTACGGATTGAATGTATTCTCATTTATCCAGCAACGATCGTCACCGTCCGACAGCGACAGGCACCAGAATTCTCTCCAGAAAGGAAGTTGGAACAACATCCCAGGAGAGATAGCTATACCCTGAAACTTGCCGTCCATACTTTCAGAGTGGGTTAATTACATACAGGGTGTTAGACATTTGCAATAACAATCCTTATGTCTCCATCTTCTGTAGATTCAAAATTACTTATGTACTGTTCACTGTGAAAGCCATTAAAATTGTTAGGTTTTTTACGAAGACGGCTGTGATATTCTTAGCAGAACTTCAAAACAAATAATACAAGTTAATTGTTGTAACTCAAGCAAAAAAAAACTTTTGGGTGTTTCATTCCTACCAGCCAGTAATGCTGGTGGGCGGGCAATCCCTACCGGAGGGTAGGGTGGAAGGACCTTTTCAGGAATCGTGGGAATGGGTGGGTGGTGGGTGGGGTGAGAAAGTTGAGACGGACGAAATGAAGAACAGAATGAAAGATTATCTGTGGAATATTACTGGCCCAGCATTTACCTAAATGATCCAAGGAAACCACAGAAAAACTTGAACCTCTAGGCCATGCCGCTCGGTTAACTCAACCACACTGGCATACTGACACTTTAGTAATTAAATGTTTTGATTCTCAGTGTCAATTATGGAATATTATTTTCATTAAGAATGAAAAATGAAAATGGGTAATCGAATTGAGAAGGCAAATAAACAGCATAAATAATTAAAGATATCAGCTGATAGTTGAGTTTAAGGTAATTGTCTTTTTCTAACATTATCTGAACAGTAATACAAAATTAAAGAAGTTCCTAATAATCAATCCAAAAAGCATTAGTTTAAAACTTAATTTAACTGCAGCTATGTTTATCAATAAATATAGTAAAATAAACATTATCGTAGATGATCCAATAAATACTAAAAATTTCTCTTTAATAAATTTAAACTTTAACCGATTTTATTCCTTACCATATATTTTGTACTTTATTGTGTAAATTTGTTCTTAATTTGTTCCATTGTTTCTTTTCCTCGTGATAAACAACAATTATTGTAGACAATAAAGTTTACAAAAAACGTTTCATTATCATAAGTGTGTTATAAATTGAGAACGCGTGGGTTGGAACAAATTCACTAAAATTCAGGGGTTTTGGTTTTTGGAAAAACGCTCGGACACGACGATCTTTATTTTTGTGTGCGGGTTTTTGCATGGTAAATTCATGTATACAGGATAGCCCAAAAACAAAGTCGGTGGTAGACTTTGTTACTTCAAATAGAAGCACCTATTTTTTATACATCTTTGAATACTGCATCGAATTTTAACTATGTTTCATGTACTTAGACCAACTACAAAATAACATAACACCCAGATTAACTGCACTTTACCCAAATGCTGAGAATCCAAATATACCAGCAGATTCGGTATGACTCCAACAGGATGGAGCACCCCTATACTGATCGCGAATGAAAGATATATTATCGAATGGCTATAGTTGGATCTTCAGACCTAACCCCACTAAATATTTATCTATGGGGTTATAAGACCATGGACGGCGGAAAAGAAAAGGTTAGAAGCTTTCGAAATGTTGTGTTATAGGCGGATGATGAGGATATCGTGGGTAGAAAAGGTTAGAAATGAAGAGGTATTGGAAAGAATAGGAGAACAGAGGACTCTATGGAAGTCAATAAAAAATAGGCGAGATAGGTTGGTAGGACACCTTCT